ACACACACACACACACACACACACACACACACACACACAGAATCCCCTGGCTCTTCCTTTGTCTGCCCACCTAATTTTTCAGTGCGGTTTGGTTCCAGGGGATTAATGTGTGCATCCCCATGAAGTAAGGGATACACACACACACACACTAATGGTAACTTTGAACAATGTGCCATATTATAGTAAAGTATTAAGACTTTTATCATATGCACCGCAGAAAAGACAAGGTGGGTGGGTGCGCCCCTGCCTGTATGGGTCAGAGGAGAAACTTCACCTCTGCCTCTGTGCGGTTCAGCCCCACACTGTGCTTTGTTAAGCAGGCACATGTCTGAACTTTGATTCACTGCCAAAACAAAAGGCTATGGCAACAACGTCCCAAGTCTCACTTTGTCGTATCAGGAAATTGATGAACTTCTCCCAAAACACTTTGGGTGTTAATGTATTTTCCTCTTCCTGCCAGGAAGTTGAGAGGTCAAAAGATAATTCCTCTCCTCCGGAAAGGCCACATTCTACATCCATCCAGCCTTTCCGATTGATGGGAGAGGCCAATACACTTTCATTGTGCATCATCATGTCTGTATAGCCATTAGTGAGCATTACAACAGCTAAATAATGATTTATTCAGATATTAAAGGGCACCAATATCCACTAAAAATAGTATCATCATTGCAGATCATTTCCCGATGACTTCCCGGTCTTGATTCCTGAATATAGAAGATCTGACTGTAGCTATTACCACCTCAACCACCTTCATCCCCCCTTGTCAGAGCAAATGATAAATTGTGTCCCGTGTAGGTCACTGTTTTTTTTTGTAATTCTGCAATGTGTGTTACTGAGGGTGTGTTTATGCTGAATGTCCTGACTTATGATTTCAAGCTGAAGCAAGGTCGATATCTACACTCAAGGTCACTTCTTCATTACAGCGGGGCAGAGCTTTCTGCCAGGCCTGTGGCAGCTATGGGGGTATAAAGGAAATAAATTACTCCTCTGTATGGCTGTCACAAGGGCGGGGAAATAGGTAAACGTCCCTCTCCGAATCAATTTAGGGTCAGCCAAGGAGTGCATCCAGTGGCTCTGAAGAGTGACGGAGCTCCCTAACCCTGACCAAAGTCAGAATAAATCAGAACTGGAGCCAGCAGCTTTGCTACACTGAGCAATGTGTCTGCATTGCTTAACTCAAGACCCCTCCGCAGACCTGATGAATGCAGAGGCCGGGAGTTAATTCCAAGACACCGGGAGGCATATCTGAGCCCCCAGCAGCTTACACAACTAACTCCAGTGTCTGTGTTAGCCCAGATCACTGGAGCATATCCTTTGAAACAGATGAAGCAAAAAAACATTTCCCTTTTAGATTTCTCTTTTAACTGGATAGTTTTTAAAATATAAACTTGCTGTCCATCACAGAAGCTGAACATGTATTTTGGGAGAAGTTTTCCTCACATAAGGTATCTACATCTACCAATAGCTTTATCAGGCTGACTAACCATAGTCCTGGTTATTGTTTCCAAATATAGCCACACTTCTGCTTTTATTGGCAGTTACAATACTACAGGAACTCTTGCCTCAGAAGATGAAGTATTTGTTTATATTAAAATGGGTTATTACCCTGAGAGCCAAGGGGATCAAGGTTAGCTTTTATCACTCACCTTTTTTTCATTACTTAAATGGTGGTTTTGTTTACACCTCAACAAAGACCCTGTAATTTCTTTCTTTATAATAAAAACAGGCATGAGGAAAGGGTCTGATAAAATCAATTTTATGGGAGCTCATTCGAGGTGCTTTCACAGGATTTATGTGCAAAGAAAGGGTTTGTTGGGATGTGTCTGCTTCTGTTTAGCCTACAGTATTTCACGGTAACTGGTCAGCTATGAACGGCGCACGTAAATGAAATAACAAAAAGGCTTTTTTTCAGCGGTTGGACTTTTAGTGTGAACTGTGGAGGGGGATGTCTAATGTAATTGAGAAAAGACATTCAGAGAGAGAGGTAGGGAGAGAGATGGAGAGATGGAGAGAGATGGAGAGAGATGGAGAGGGAGGGAAAAGGGCATTTCCCCATATATGGCTGTTTTTTCAGTGGCAACTGCATCAACAGGCAAAGTGGATTAGAGGATGCTCAAACAGGACAGGAAGAGGGAGATAACAAAGAGGAACGCACAAAAGCTTGGAACTGAGAGTGAGTTTATTCACACACAGTCCAAATGTTGTGGTTGAAGCACATAAAACATGCCTGACTGTACATGCACATCCATGAAATAACCAGAACAATAACTGTTGTTGTAGTGTAAGGAAGGGGAGGCCAGCACGAAAGGATACAGTCTGTTTTCCTATTACTGAGTTAGCCCTCAGTTAGTTGACATTGTTCTGCTTTACAGAAGTGTGGAGAATGAGCAGGAACAATCCTTAAAGGCAGAAAAAGAAGGTGTGACGTGTGAAAATTGTTTGTGCGACGCCAGTTTCCACATTGCTGAATCTCACTAAGCCCATCAGTGTCTGTCTGCCTCCAGAAGCTGATGTTTTACACACCTCTGTCAAAGCAGCTTTTCTCTGCCCCACAGCACTCACACATACCCGGATTCCTCTACAATAACTCAAATTCCTAATTGTAAAAAAGATAATGATTGAATTATCCAAGCACACATACGCACTTTATCTCTAAACAAAGTCACAACATTCTTTAGATTTAGGAATAAAGATTAAAGTAATTTGTTCTGTAACCATATTTTTAAAAAAACATGTGATTGCGATTTATTTGTTTACGTGCGGTCATAAATTAGAGACTCCAACAGAAAAAACAAACTACACATAAACTATTTGTCATTGGAAGAATAAATTGTCACTTCCTGCGGGTGCATTGGTCATGAAACAACATCAACAATCTCAAAAATATTTAATTTAACATCCGCCCGATGTGTGGGCTGGAGTTCAATAACTTTGAACTCCTTCACACAACAAAGAGGAGAAGAGTCTTGTGTCAGCATCAACTTTGACTGTTTGTTTGTTCTATCCATTTCTATCCTTCCATCCAGCCGTCCCCCACTTCCCACAGCCTAAAGGTGACTCCACCAGGGAGCGCCTGGAATCACTCCAGCTCATGACCTTTCTGAATTAGCAACATAGTGATGTCTTTATTGTATTCTTGCCAAGGTGAGAGGAAACAGAAAGCTGACATGTGCTTACAACATGCTCTGTGTTCTTAATGTGCTGTCCAGGGTTTGTGCTGAAAAACCTAAGGAAAAGCAGGCATTTGAGAAACTTCTCGTGTACTTTGTACGTTGTGCAGTGTTTATGTGTGCAGATCATGTTACTCATATACAAAGTTTACATTGGTCTCATGGGAGTCAGTGAGAAGTTGCAGTAGTGATGTTTGTGTAGACAAAAAAGCAGCACTCAATGTGCAGTACAGAGCGCACAAACACAGATTCAGGCCAACTACAGAAATAGACTACATGGCTAAGTTTAAATATCTGTAACAAACTAGATCACATGAGCACAAGAGAAACTAGAAATCTGATAAACTAGAGTGAAGTTGATCCAAAACCAAAGCAGGGCTTAAGTTGCATGAGGCAATGTTTTGCTTTAAATTAGCAACAGCTGATAATGAAGCAGTAAAACCATGTGTGATCTGTTCATGAGATAACACAGCAGGCCTCACTGAGGACCCAGGTTTTAAAAAGCAGCACAGAGCTGCCACAGTGTGTTCAACTCAGTGCACTGCAGCAGGTCAATACAACACAGACAATCTACATCCTCCAACTGATTTAACACCTGAAACGGGTTCACCGTTTACGCACACTGAGAGGGAATAGAAACAGCTGCTGTGTTCAAACATAAAAGTACTAAGTACGCCAGTCATGACTTTCCACTGCAGACAGAAATAGCCCCCTACGTCCACTGAGAGTTCGGCCACTCCAAGTTGATCATGTTTGAAGCAACGAAAAGGTTATTCTTCATGGTTTGTTAACTAAATCATATTTAATAAGTATGTGGGATGAACATTTTAATCTGAATCAAATATTCTAGAGTAATTTCAGTTTTCAGCATTAACAGCTAGATATAATTCTTTAAATGTTTTTGTCAAATTTGAAGTGGACAGAAACTGGGGCTTTGAGATTATTTCTATTAACATTATTTGTCCCTTTTTTATATAATAACTAAATCTGCTTAGAACCAGTTACTGTTTGATCTAGATGAGGCCAGGGAATGTTGAATCCATTTACCATTGGCAAACAAAAAGAAGAGATGAAACATTTAGAGATGGCATTTGTTGCTATGGAACAAGACTACTTGAATCTCCAAGTCTGTGTTAAAGGAAAAGGAATTTATAGATGAGGCGGTCTGTCACTGGACGGAAAAAGGAAGCAACACATTACACTGAATGAAAAACAAGTCATTTATTCAATCTGATGGAAAAGACAAAACACTCTACTTGCTCAGGCCAGCCAGTGCAGCCACGTTATTGAAATTTCATATGTTTTGAGGTCTTGACCTCTGTTCTTGTTGTTCGGCATTTTCGTACAAATCCCACTCCCACGAGCCAGTGCATCCACACAGAAGGATAAAGCATTATCTAGTCTAAACGAAACAACATCTTTTAAGCAAGACTGCCTGAAGTATACTATGAATATTTGTTTTGTTTAGTCATGTGGGCCAGGTTTATTGTTTGGTTTTATCAACAAAAATTACAAAATTCCATCATATTGGCAGGACAAACTTGTGACGAAATTCATCGGAAAAACTGATAAGACCGATGGCGGACAGACACAGTCTGGATAGAAAAAATAAAATAAGACTGCTGCTCCAGCTCCTCGTCTCAAAGCAGATCAAGTGGCAAAGTCCTTTCGGCTTGCCACCACAATGGATGATGGATCGTTGTTTGAGATCCACCAGATTTCAGTCTTTAACGATCCAGTGATTGTGAATCGTTTATGCCTGGATGGTGCTCTTTGCAGTGAAGGCCAGGTAGTAGACCAGGATCCCCATGAGGGCAGCCACCACCTCAGTCGCCACCCATGGGCCGTTCCACGCACCCTGGGGAGAGATTCACACATTTTAGAAACTGCTTATAAAAATGTTCAGAGGAACTGATGTTAAAAAAATGTACATTCCAGTTCCTCTGGTTTTAGAAACACAAAGAGGCTGAGAGCAAAGTGGAAGATTTCTTCTTATAAAAGGCCTTATTCTACCGTTTTCAATAATACATTTCATTAAAAGAAACCGGCATGGTAAAGGTTACATTTTCTAAGGAGCAATAACAAAATAGTTCCCAAAATGTCAAAACAAGCCTTTCAGAGTGGCTACAACTGCTTAACCGAGTGTCTCTGTGGGCTTCATAAAAATGTGTTTTTCTTGAATGAAGGGATTCCAGCTGTAAATCAGAAAATAACCCTTTTGCAATATAAATCAGCATGGAGGCTGTTATAGTGCCATAAAGAGCACATGTTTTATTGCTTCCTTTTTACATTCCTCCAGAGGCAAGTTTTAAACTAAAAGTACTGCCCTGTGGTTGTATGCCTCCCCCAACTGGTCAAGTTGGAGTTTACACCCGTCCGTCCAAAATGTCAAGCTTCATCATTTTATTCTTTTAGACTTTGTGTAAAATTGTGGTTATCGGCATATACATTTTTGAGGTATAGTCTAAAGCACATATGGCAATGTCATAGGGACCTTGACTTTTGTCCACTAAATTCTAATCAGCACTTCTTTGAGTCCAAGTGGACCTTTTTGACAAAAAAAAGTAAAAACCTGTTTACAGTTTTGCTTTTTCTTGTTCGGCATAAAAAAAAAAAGAGATACTAACAAATGCATATTACATGTTGTACAATGAGAGTTAGAGATGCACCTTTTGTATTCACCTACATTTTCACCAAAACGGCACCATGTTACAGGACCTCCGTGATGTTGTCCACAGCTTAATAAGACTTGGAGGTTTTACAAAATGCAAGCTTTGAGTCTTCTTCATTCAAACTGAAGCACTTCTTTACCAACAACATGATGTGTGGCTGTGCTTTGCCACAGCAGGCGGTGCTGTTGTGTGCCCAACATGTTTACATGTGACCGGCGGATATACGACACTGAATGGGTGGTCACGGAAAAACGACAATCAACTGACAACCGGGCGGTCTCTGCTACTGACCAAACAATCGGTTAATCTCTGAAGACGTCAAATGAACCTTGAACTACGAGTGTTTGTGGATCTCATTTAACCGTCTATGGAGCAGCTCCAGGGTCTGTCTCTAAATCAGTACAATCAGATAAAATACAAATGTTGTACTGATGAAAATGATTCTATATCTATCTTCTATAAAAATTAAATGATAGAAACATTAATTTGTGCAAAATACTTTTAAAAACTGACCGTCTCATAGAAGTATGACCATTTTCATCTGTAATGTTTTCTGAAGATTCTTTGAGAAATAATAAACTAACTTCTTTCCAAAACACTGATTGTGTATAAACACGGGTTCGATCTGAAGGTGTAAAAAGGACTCACCCTGTGGTCAATGTTGACGGAGAAGAGAGGCTGAATGGCATTTACATCTTCGTTGTTTCTCTGGGCCTGGAACAAAAGAGATTAGTTAAAAAGGCATAAAACTAACTTGCCAAACACAAATCATTTCGAATACAATGGAGGTCAGTGGCATAAGTATGAGCTTATCAAAAAACATTCATCACTAACCTTGCGGAGGGAACTGTAGGACTCCTCATCGAAGAATTTCACCTGATATGTTCCAGAGCTGGCCTGTTTGTGAGGAAGGCTCCAAGAAACCTGAGGAAAGAAATCACATGCTGACAAATGCTTTGGTGATAAACTATAGGCTTTAAGAGATGGTCACCTGAAGTACAATTATTTTTTGTTTGTCTTTTTTGTTTGCCATTATTGAAGAATACATCATCAGCTTTATTGAAGAGATTGAAGGTCCATTTTCAAAAGACATACAACACTCAAATAAAGCTGAAAGTACACAGGGAAGTGAGAAAGAATAGGGATGACCTGGAGCAAATGTATTGCCTTTTCAATGTAGGTGAATGATTTAAACATATTGACCCAGGGACATTGAACCTTTGACCCTGGTTAAATCACTGCGGAAAACTTAATGTGTCAAGCAGCTTCAGCATGAACATATGAACTGGGGCCACACTTGCATACCTGGTACTTGCCAACATCCTGGCCTCTAGTCACAGGGAACTGTCTTCCGTTGACATCAGCATACAGAACCACACTCTGCAAAGGACAGAAATGGCCAACAGTCAGTCCATTACATCAACATATACATTCACACTGTCTGGTTGAAATGTTGGAGGTGGACTGTTACCTGGGCTCCATTGGCACAGGCCAGGCTGAGTTCAACGATGAAGACCGACTCAGAGGAGATGACGGCATCTGAGGTGGTGTAGGCCGACGGGGTGATCGCTGGGTCCGTGCAGCTCTCTCCTATAACCACAGTGTACAAGTTAGTGAATTAATCATCTGCACAAGATAACAGCTCTTACACATTCACCAAGACTAATTTACCCCTTATTGAGATGACACATGGACGTGATTTGATGAACTAGCTAACAGTAGCTAGCTAAGGTTGGTTAGCATTACAGGCTTATTAACTGGTAAATATGTCCCCTCGTCCCCCACTGACTTACCCGAGCAGGCAACCACTAGCAGGGCGAGGAAGGCGGCTATCCGAATCATGGCAGTGGTATCTGGGGGTTTTCTGGTGGGTTTTGTGTTGCTTCTTGGGTCCAGCTGCCAAACTGCACTGTTTCTTTCTCACTGACTGAAGGGAAGAAGTCCACCTCAGCTCTCCGGTTCAAGACCTCTGCGCATGCGCAGCAATGACGTGGACTGTTGCGCCGCAGAGCATTCTGGGAAGTTACTATGTCGACACGTCATCCGAGTTAAACACATGTTTACAGTGAAACCTTTATATATTTATACAGTAGTCTATCTGTGAAACAGGTCTATTTGTTACACAATTATATTTATTATACATCAATATGGCACCGCTATTAAAAAGAGGAAGGCAATCAAAACCAAATGTGTATTTGATAAATACTTTATTTGAAATGTTACCTTTTTTTTTATCACAATTGTCCTTATACTTATTTCTTTATTTTATTTTTTCACTAAAAACCTAACTGTGACAAAGAAAAAAGGGTTTCTGTGTTCAAACTACAGTAATAATGTATTAATAAGTCCTTTGGGGTTACATTATATTAAAAGTAGGCCTACAGTTTTTCAAATCATCATATATTTTTAGAGACCTGAAAATGACAAATGAAATAGCAAACAAAATTAGTCAAAAATAAAATAAAAACGAAAAAGTACACGGGGGTTGTTTGAAATGGCAAATGTCTATATGTATACATATCAACACATACAATATCCATACACACATACATGTGTCAGTGTCCATACATACACACCTATACATACATTCAATCGGTGTATAGAAACAGTCAAATAAGGGATGGTCTTTTTTTAGGATATGTAAATTCTCCACTTTTTCCATATTTCCTCAAATGTGTTTTCCTGAAGCCTCATTGAGAAAGTGATTCTTTCCATAACATACATTTCATGGATGTTGTCGTACCAGTGGTCAAGAGAAGGGATGTCCGCTTTGAGCCATTTTCTAGTTATTACTTTTTTTGCTGCAACAGTAAGAATTCCAAATAATCGTTTTGTTTTGAGGTTTGTGGGGATTGAATGTACGAGCCCAAATAGAAATTCATCCCAGTTTAATGGGATTTTTTCCTGTAGTACTATTTCAATTTCTAAATGGATCTTTTGCCAAAAAGTTACTATCAAAGGGCAAGCCCAAAACAAATGGTAGTGATGTGCTAACTGAGAACCACATTTCCTCCAGCAGCTGGGGGGCCCTAGATGATGTGGTGACTGAGCAGGGCTGAAAAAGTACCTGCTCAGCATCTTCCAACTAAACATTCGATTGGCGCCTGAGCTAGAGATCTTCCATTGAAAAGTACAATATCTTGACGAGCTTTGTAAAGTTTTGAGATTACTTTCATCCCTTCGTCTGATGTGTATGCACTGGTGAAAACTATTAATAAAGGATCTTCAAGGGCCTTCTAGCTGTCTAACAGGGAACTATTTAAATAGTGGCGTACCTGTAGAAATAAAAAAAAAATCACCGTTATTCAATCCATATAGTTTTTTTAGTGTTTGAAAATCGATCATGGTTCCTTTGCTGAAAAAATTGCAATATGAAGTAAGGCCATGTTTGGCCCAACCTTTAAATGTTGTAGCTTTCTCGGGGTGAAATCAAGATCATGTGAGCACCATCTTAATATCTTCTTTTCCTCCAGCAAGTCACTCCTGGTAAGGACCCTTAACCATCATTTTAAAGAGAGATTGATCCAGTGGTTATCTTTTTCCAGTAAGTTTTTAACATGTCTTTTATCACCTAACCTTGCCTCGATTGGTACTCCTCCTGATACATTATTCTCAATTTCTTTCCATCTAGCTCTGTAGTCTGACTTGCATCAGCAGAACAAGCTTCGACTGGGTTGTCCTCATAAAACACAGTTAGTCTGGCCGGGAATGGGCTCTGGAATCTTATGTTTCTTTCCTTTCAGTCAGACAACTCACGTGTTTCTCTAACATGTTAAGCAGCATATAGTTGAGTTTGGCGTCTAGGCTCGGGCCTCATCACTCCACGGATATACATAGCACGATGAGTGACGATTAAATAACTAACCCCCGAGCCTACAGGTGGAAGCTGGGGTGGAAGCTGGGGTGGTGGTGGGGCAGGCAAGCAGCAGCGACGTGGAAGTATAGCTGCA